GGGGGGGGGGGGGGGGGGGGGGGGGGGGGGGGGGGGGGCGGTATGTAAAGTTTCCTAACGCACAGAAGAGTCTACGTGGCGGTACTTCTGGCTCGCACGTTTGTGAGGGGACATACGCTTTGGACACACGATTTTGCAAGCGCCTGGTTATCTGTGCACGTTGCTCGCTGGAGTAGCCAATCGATCGATGTCCCACTATTCCGGCCTTGCCGCCAATTCCTGACCCTCCCCCGCTATTCGTTGTTTCTAACGCGGAACCGACGATGCCCGTGGCCATGATCATGGACACGACACGAACACAATCACACACGATATGGGTTAGCCGTCGGAGAGCAGCACCACGGGGGGCGCCGCGGTTGACGACGGTAAAGGGGAGGGGGGCCCTATCAAGCGGTGAGCAAGTTCCCCCGCTCCTATTTTCTCCACTGCAGGAGCACTCAGGATATTATTCTAGGGAGAGACGCCGTCACGTTGGAAAGGGGGCCCCGTGTTGCATAAAATGCCGTTACGATGGAGGGGGTGCCCCGTGATGTGGAACAACGCTTTGGGGGCGGGGGAACGCGCCTGTCCGTATAGGGATGGACGTTTCAAGGCTGTATTCAACAAGACACATGTGAATAGGGTTTCGTCTTCTGAGAATTGTCGCTGTTCTCTCGTTGGTGGCTGTTTTTCTCATCCTTGCGTCGTTATCCTGTACCAGACAGACCCTTCTCATGCCCGCAGCAAACCGGTACAGACATAGCCTGTCTGTCTACTTTTCAAGGAAAATTCCTCCAGTGCACACTCAATCAAGGATCAAGACCATTTTCATCGAAAAATTTCGCTCGGAAAGATGCTTGAGCATCGGAACAGTCGCAAAAAGAACAACGTTCTTCTTTTTCGCAGGGGGTTCCGTCGGGTGGCACGGTTCTTCGGCGCTGGCAAGAAGATGCCGAACGTCAAGGAGCTCGGGCTGTACGCTCTCCTGAGCTACGGGTTCGTGAGCAACGCTTCCTACGCCATCTGCGTGGGGCTGGCCTGGTTCGCATCTTCCAAGAAGACAGGTGTTATATATAGGTTTTTTTTTTTTTGTCTCTTGGGGGTTTTCTTTTTGGCTCTGTTTTGTGTCTATCCCGTCCGTTGCCTGGGGCCACTTAGTCAACGGGCAGGTGTTGTTGGCGTCGTTTGGTTTCGTGTATGCATAGACATCTGTTTTTGCCTTTTTTTGTTTTGTTGTGCTTATTTTGGAAGCGATGTTGCTGTATTTGGTCTACATATGTGTCTCAATATGGCGAGGTGCAGCGGCAGCGGCGGCGGGTCGACTTTTGGTTTCTACTAGAGTAACGGTTCTTGAGGTACTAAGACAGGTGTCAATAGGGCTAGACCACGATGACGGCAGCGGCATCTGCAGTAGGCAGTTCAGCTGGAGGAAAATATGGCTCCCGCGCGCGACACTATTAGCAATACCCATTCGTTGACTGAGTGGCTTGCACCCGGCCACTTTGCCGTGCTGCCGTTCGCCTGGTGATCATGCACTAACTAGTCTTGTTGATACCTATCTCTTTATTGTACTGTTGTTGATAGGTCTATCGCCGCTTGCACCGGGACAGTGGCAAGTCTTCCTCGTCAGCTACGCCACACTCTGGGCCATCAACAACGTTCTCAGGTATCTATGAATGAACGCGTGCAAGTGATTTGCCTCCATTGGTTGCCCGGCAGGCGGGTTCGACCGCTTCTGCGCTTATGGCTCGTGTGCACCCATCGTGAACCTCCAAACGCCTTTCACAGCTCTCACGGTTGCAGTTTGTAAGTGGTACTTGGATACAAGATCCGATCTGGAGAGTATATGTATAGATGTGGGGGGGTGTGCTATTGGGGGTCCACGTGCGGGGCCCCTCGAGAGAGAGCCCGCCCATGTCTGTACTGGCGTCTGGCCTGCTTCATCTGTGCTGAAAGGAGCACTGGATAATATACAAGGGTTTATATCATCTGCATTTGGTCCTATCAAGGGTTTATTTCAGCTGCATAGGTCCTGAGTTAAATTAGTCCCCAGACATCACTATACTACCGTGGTTGGGCACGGCAGCCTCCGTGGGAAGGCACGGGGGCCTCTAACACAGATTTCAACCCCCCNCAACCCCCCCCCCCCCTCCCTCCCCAACGGGGCCCTGTCCTCGATAGAGGTGCTTTTTGTCGATTGAGCTCTGGTAGTTAAGCAAAGACAATCAATAATACGCTAGATAACACCCCCCCTTATCCAACCTCTTGTGCGCGGCGTAGAGTGCCCCGGTTCGCGCTGTCCGTGAGCCTTGCCCCAGCGTTCGACCGCTTCATCGAGTTCCTGATGAAGAAATCCGGGAGAGGGAAGGGCGTCGCGACGGGACTCTGCGTCGTCTTGGTCAACATCCTCGGCACGTTCGTGTTGCTGTCCACCGGAATCCTCCTCGCCTCCATCTTCTCGGGTGCGTACCACTACCTTCATTATGTAACGTTAATGCGTTTCTTGTTGTACTTGTTGTTGTTGTTGTTGTTGTTGTTGTTGTTGTTGTTGTTGCTGTTGTTGTCGCTGTCGTCACATTAAAACCATTCCAATCTCTCTACCTAGTACCTTCATCTGTCCGTACGGAACAAACACTTGACCGGTCAATTTCCGTGGTCACAGGCTAACTTAACCCTAAAAGGGTATCCTCAAATATTATGGGCCCAAAAGGGTCCGCCAATTGATATCAACACAAAACAAAGTTAAAACGTAGTTGCTTGACTTCGTGTTTTTGAAGGGTGTTGCCTGATGTGGTTGGGATCATACTATTGTAAGGAACCACCTCTTGCTTGGAAATATGGGAACCATGCGGGTATATTCACGTTGTTAGTAAACTTGATAGACTTCATAAGTCGCGAGGGTAGGGATTGCTGTTACCCTTCTCGCGATAAAAATATCTCAGACAGGAACCGCAGGAGGGGGTCCAACCCCCCCCTCCTATGTGACCCCGGTTGGGTCGTCTAGCTGGTAGAAGCGGAGGATAGGGGCCAGAGGGGCAGACGACAGAATCCAATGATGGGAGACCAAAAATAAAATAAAATCACGTTTGTGTCCGAGCTTGCTTTTTGCTACTTTCAAACAGAGTGATACACGGTACAAAAAGAGTAGTTACGTGGTACACAAACGGAAGCGGTACACATACAGAAGGGGTACAACCAGAGTAGTTCATGGTACACAGGGTTGTGATTAGACACTCCGTCTGATGATACGGATGGGTGGACAACATGCTTCTTCTCGGTAGGCAGCTTTTTTGTGGCGCCCGTTGCTTGCTCGGGACGGATAGGCTGCATACCTTGGCTCCTTGCAATCTGCGACCAAGGATGCCAGGGGAGGGATGAAGCACCTTCCTTCTGTGAGATCACAACCTTCCTTCTGTGATATCACAAGACACTCCCTCCTCTACATGCCACAGACAGTAGCTTACCTCGTAGTATTTTACGTCTCGCAACTTACAATTCGACACGTTCTTCGTTTTGGCATTGTCGCGATCATCCCTAGCATACATAGTTTACTCGAAGTAGCATACATTTTTGTGTCCGATGTGTTCGAAACTTGTTTTCTCTTGCCGCTACCATACAATACTTGTCCCACCCTTTTTTTGCCCGGCGCTTTGACTGCTGCTGTTGTTTCGCGATTCAACAGGCGTCCCGTTCTGGCCAGCCGCAGCTGCTGCATAAACAGCCAAGGCACGAGACACCAATCCGCCCAACCAGGCAACCACCAAACTTTAACTTTGGAAAGGGCACCGTAAGAACACCTGATGGTTTCGGAGACATCGAACGTTTCTCAAGGAATCTCATGCGGGCAGGCGCCACGACGAGATAATTTTTATCTTGCGTGTTGTCCTGTGGTGTCGAACGAGAAAACTGTGCTCGAGTAAGCGCGAAGACTTTAGTGAAGGGCGTGTTTTGTTTTTCCTTTCGTCCTGCCTGTTCCGGGTGCCAGTGTACGCAGTTCGGTGTGTGTTTGTTGTTGTAGTTTTGTGTATTCCCAGACATCGCCGTTGTGGGCACGTGCCGAACTTCGCACCACGGTTGTGGGGTAGGCTAAGTTCGTTAGTCCTTCCTTGCCCAACTTTGTTCTCGCTGTCAGGGTTAATTTTCGGCAATGGGGAATCTTGGAGACTTCCAAGATTAACTCTAGTTGAGTAGGTTGTTTGGCCTGCGCCGGCAGGAGACGATGACGTTGTTCGTTGTTCGTGCCATATGTCTGTATTAGAGCGCTTTTTTACTTTGGATTGGAGGAAAAACATCGTACGATGATTGCATAGTGATCGGTTAGTTTTCTCTGAGAAACTGGGAGTCAATTGAACGAAGGTGTACCTTTCAAGAAGCTTGCGATTTACTATTTACCCTGTCCTGCTGGGGACCGTTGGGTTGTGCAATTTGGCAGGTTTGACTGGCAAGGAAATCGATGCTACAATGCTCCTGATTGATCTTGTCTACGTGTCTGTATCGGAGACAAAAGTCGTCAGGTTGTAGGCTTTATGCACTGACAGAGACCATGACCAGTCATTTTGTTCTATTCTCTTGGTTGCTTGGGTTGGTTTTCTATTTGGACATGTCTTTTTTCGCTCTGGTGTTCTTCGAGGAAAAAATACAACGACAACGTTGTGCTACTGTTATTGGGCTGCTGCAGTGGCCAGTTCGGGGTTGGGCGCTCATCTCGGTGAGCCGTGCTTTCCCCCTCCGCATACTGATGTGTCTTGCCTAGTAATTTGTAGATATGAAGCACCCGTTCGTGATTGGAAGGAGAGTGCTGGACAATTCTCGCGTGAAGAAATAAGGGATGCAGCGCACAGGAATTGATAGTTGTTCCTCGAAGATACGTTACGGATCAAGAGGTCTTCCCGCGAGACGTCAACGTGAGTGCGCCGCAATGAGAATTTACGGCGGACGCAACGGTTGACAAACGGGATGGTGGTAACGCCTACACGGAAAAAAATGCCTTCTCTTCCGCACTCCCTCCCTTCCTTGGGGGGGTTCGATGACTGAAAGCAAGCGTGCGTGTTTGTCCGCGTTCAATGTTCATCAATCGATGATCAGACAAAAGTCAGAGTCGCCAGTATTAACAAATATAGTAGATCCGGTCCCACATCCCCCCTCGTTGATACGTCACGGCCCATTGATCGATTTTTGGTAGGAGGACGAAGTGCGTGGTGTTTCAACACTTTAACGTTCGTCCGGGTTCATCCGCGATCAGCACGACGATTGATTGTTGCGTCGTCACGCGCTCTGTTCATGCAGCAGCGCCTCCTGCCGTAATTTTCCTCTTGTGGAAATGTTTTTCGTGCAAGTTGGGCTTATCAAAAAGATCAAGTATTGAGGAGCTTCTTTGCTCACAGCAGTTCTCTCAAGATGAAGCGAGTCGTTGCTAGAGCCGCTGATTTAATGGTGACGCGTCCAGCTGGGGAATTACAAATTATTTTGTGCGAAGCGCAACAAGAATGTGAGGAGGCGTGCTTTCTCAACGCCGTAGAAAATGACAATGAGAAGGAATGTTGGAGAATGATGATTACTCGTCGCGATGATGCTCGTTTTGTAAACGTTTTTTTCGTTGTACTCCCTGACGTGTTTGGCTTGCCGTGAATGTGTTGGGAGATGGTTAAAAGCAGAAAAAATACAGAACGATGAATTCGTTGCAACCGAGCTAGAATGGGGCACTACGATATTGCTGCTGCCGTTGTTGCTGTGAAAGGAGGTAACAACGGCAACAACAATGATTGACTCAATATATTACCCAGCCTACGAGCCGAAGACGCACCAGATCCTGAAGTAGTCCCTACGGCGAAGCGTCTACTGTACCTTTGAATCGATGAATGAATTGGCGTTGGCGAAAAATGCTTCCGTGTTGATATGTATTCACATTAAACACTGATGATCTAGACATAGAAAGAAGACGCACCGGCCGCTCGGTGTCCCCGTGCGTGTCAGTTGGTAGATTCCAGAGCCCTGATAACGGTGTATAACACTCTCCAGTAGTCTTCAGGTTCGAGTTCACGGTCGACGATGAAAAGCGACAGCTGCGTTCTTCTTGAGTCCAAAAGTGAAGTAAGCACACGCTAGAAGGAACGTGAAGCAAATACACGAAGTCTCCCGTTGTGTGGCCTTCTTCCTTAGTGACCCAGGCTGATGATGCGTCCAGAATAAACACACCGGAACGTGCAAAATGAAAGACTGAATCCCAGAATAAATGGGACAATGGACACAAACCAACACGTGCATCCAGAGCAAAACAGAACAAGCACATATTCGCACACCCTGAGAAATAACAGTCGTCACACACAGCAAATCCTTGCCTACAAACAGCAATGAGCATGTCTCTTGCCCATCACATACATCAGCAATCTATACCATGACTGCCAAACCCAGTGTGGTGCAAATTTCTCTTCTTTTGTGTTCCGCGGCTGCTTGCCCCCACCGCTTCCCCCCCCCCCTCCCCGAGTCATACAGAGTAGGCGACGCAGGAAAATGTACAGATGGAGAATAGATAAGCTAGAAGTAAAAGAAACGAGGGTAGAGTTCCAAGAAGAGATGGCTATAAACGACAAGACTCGGAGTTGATAGAGGCAATGGGCACACCGAAGGATGCAAAGGTCGGGGCCAGGCCGGATCTAGAATCATAGAAGGGGGGGAAAAGCTGGTAAACACAACGGCAAGTAGAGTCCTCAGTAGAAAGTTGATAGTTTGTAAGAAAGCAGTGAATTGGTGGGACGAAGAAATCAAGCAAGCAATTCGAGTACGTACAGAGTCACACGCAAAATATGCGGCAGGGAAAACCGAAGCAGGATGGAAGGATTATATTGAAAATAGAAAGAGGGTGAAGGAGTTGGTGGTGAAGAAGAAGAAAGCGTTGTGGGAGGAAGTAGTCCAAAAGACTAACGAAGATTTTGAGGGGGGGATGAAGCAAATGCGGGTAGGAATCCAAGGGATAGTGGGCAAGAAAAGAGGGGAAGACACGGGAATAGCGACACTACGATCTGCCGAGGGTAAGATGGTAAGCAGTTCTAAAGGAAAGCGGGAAGTACTAGTAGAGCACTACCGCAAACTTGGGACACCCACCACCAACGACAACTTCGACTCGGAGTTTGAGAAGGAAATCAACTCGTGGGCAGAGGAAAACGTTGAGAGGTCTCGGAGGGAATGTAGTGATGTAG